GTGATTGTGTATGTGTGCGATTGTGTGTTTACCTGCCCTCCAACAACAACGGAGGGCGGAGGAGCGACGCCCACAACAACGAGCGGAGCGCCGGGTGGCTAAAGCACAGCAGGTCGGCACAGTAGGGGGGGGCACAGGTGGTGCATCAGGCAGTCATCTCAGTCGACCCGTGGCACCTGCTGGGTCTGTGTCCCGTGACCTTGCGGTGCCACAGCAGCGAAGCCTCCCGGCTTCCGTCACGGCGCTTCCCCACCACCGCCCACACGAACACGCGCGCACACGCACGCACCCCCACATAGAGCCCCGAGGGGAGGCCACCTGGCCGACAGGTTTTCACCCAGAAGCCCTCTGATGGGGGCGGAACTTCACGGTTTCCTGCGACCAGGGACTTGAGCGACCTCCCCCGAGGCCGGCGCGCACCGCGGCGCCGTGACGCGGGTTGTAATCGCGTGGCCACGGCCGGGGGGCTGCTGAGCCGCCGCGGGTAGAAAACATCCACACTCGACGCGGGTCGGCAAGGCAGGTGGGCGGTGGGGCGGAGTAGCGAGCGACGTCCGGGGGGGGCGGACGTCGGAGAGAGCACCGATCCGATTAACAAAGAGCGGGAAATCCGAGGCTCCGGGATTGGACGAGAGGCCACCGGATTAGCGGCACGGTCGCTTTGATGTCGGGGCGATAAAAAGGGAGGGAAGTCAGGGGCAAGCTCTCTTTTTGTTCGGGTTCTTCTGGAGAGAGGGAGCGGGGGAGTCGCCGTGCTACCTGCTACTGGAACGTCCGCGAGACGAGTCGCAGAGCAGCCAGAGCCCAGTTCCCAGCCTTTCCGCGGCTTCCCTACGCCTCGAGATCGGATCGATAGGAGAGAGGCGAGACAAAGGGGAGTAATCCCTCAGGGAAGGGGAGTAGGGAGAGACCAGGCAAATTTGAGTCCTGGACCCGCCGGGAGATAGGCTTAGACCTGGCCTGCCGGCCCACACCGACACGGGTAGATTAACTTCAAATAATCGGAGAATAAATCGCCCGTAGACGTTGAACCTTGTGCCGTGTCGTCTCTGCGAGTGCGGAGAGGATGGCTGCACGGTGTTGTGAGCCTGCTCGCTGTGGTTTCCTGTGTTTTCGCACGAGCGTGTGTTCTACCCGCGTGGGTGCGCTCGCCGCTGCGCGGCTCGTGGTTAGCGTGTGCGAGAGGGGCACAGCGGCGTGTTCGCGAGGTGGTTCGCACAGCCTTTCAAATCATGCCTCGAGGGACCGCAGCGAGGGGAGGGAGACAGTCGGAGAGCAGTGGGTCGCAGATGAGCGGGGAGGCGGGGGGCAGCCTCCCCAACAACCTCCTGCCAGCGGGCGTTCGACACTCCACGTGGCCTCAAGGTGTGCACGGCCTGGCACAAGCGTCGTGGTGACGTCACCGCCACTTAGTGGCGAATGGCGGTTGTTGTTGTTGTAGCTATGTGTGTGTGTGTCTGTGTGAGTTTATGTGTGTGTCTGTGGGTCTATGTATGTGTCTGTGTGTTTGTGTCAGTGTTTGTGTTTGTGTGTGTCTGTGTTTGTGTGTGTTTGTGTGTCTGTGTGTGTCTGTGTGAGTGTATGTGTGTCTGTGGGTCTATGTATGTGTCTGTGGGTCTATGTATGTGTCTGTGGGTCTATGTATGTGTCTGTGTTTGTGTCTGTGTCTGTGTGTTTGTGTGTGTCTGTGTGTGTTTCTGTGTGTGTGTCTCTGTGTATGTGTGTGTCTAGGTGATTGTGTTTACCTGCATTGTACTTTGCACTCCCATCGTGTGGGTACTGTGTTGTTTTTGTTCCTGTAACGTTCTGACGACCCCGTGTGGCCTCGACTGGACATCTGTGATTAAATAGCTTTATAGCTCATCGGGATTCCTCCTGAAGTATATTCTGAATGAAATAGGCACGGTTATCTGAGACGTTGCACCAACCTACGGTCCACCACATTGTCCAAGTGCATGAAACTCACACACTCGCCCACTGACCCACTCACACACCCACTCACTCGCCCACTCACCCACTCACACACTCATTCACTCACCAACTCACTCACACAACCACTCACCAACTCACCCACCCATTCACACTCACACACTCAACAACAACCGCTAGTCGCTACTAATTAGCGGTGACATCACCATGGCGCTGTGCCAGTGAACAAGTACATTGAGGCCACATGAAGTGTCGAACGCCCGCTGGCAGGAGTTCATGGGGCAGACCCAGGTGCCACGGGTCGACTGAGATGACTGGCTGATGCACCACCTGTGCCCTCCGATGTTGTTGGACGGCGACTGCCTCCAACTGCCCAGTAGCGTTTGTCACGAACCTCCTCCATAGAGGTCGATGTTGACACCGCTGGTACCAATCATCGGTAAGTCCACTCAGCTCCACATCCTCTTGTACCACATCACTCCATCTCTTCTCTAGCCAGTGCCGTGCCCGTTCAGCCCCCTCCATCCGGCCGAACAAAAGCTGTTTAGGCATGTGGTGGCTGGGCATGCGGGCTACATGATCCAGCCAATGCATCCTTGCCTGCCGGAGGAGCTCATCGATGGGACTTTTTCCAGCTCTTTGAAGGATTTGTGAGCTGCTCAAACAATCCAGCCTGGTTAAACTCAGGATGGATTGTAGGCAGGCTAGCCTAAATGTTTATAACCGGCAAAGATGTTCCATTAGGGGGGTCCACTTTTAGAGAAGGGAGGAAATGACCGTGGCCGAGACGACCTGAAACTTAGTTGCGGAGCAACAGACCAGGTAGCTTCCACACAGCGTTACGCAACCGATGAAAATAATGCCGCTCGACTGATTCGGAGCGAGACCTCTGCTGTCAAACTGGAGCTGGTCATGAGCACACTGCACGGGTATAGGAAACGCTCCACTCTCTCAACGACTGCCCCATCACCAATTGAGAGTTGTTGGGGTAGAGTGCCTGATGGTACAAAATGCCCAGGCAGGTGCTTAGTTTTGGTGGGGCTGATGGTAAGGCCCCACCTCATAGTGGCACGCTCCAGTCTCAGCAGCAGTACCTCCAACTCCTGCTCTGAGTGAGCTGCAATTACCAAATCATCGGCAAACATAACGTGGTTGAGCAATAGGGAGCCATCCCTTGACCGCACCCGGGCATCGATCAGCCTCCCATTATATCTGTACCAGAAGAAAATTCCTCCGGTAAAGCCATCGAAGGCTTCGCGAACTACATGGTCAAAATAGATATTAAATAATGTGGGAGCCAGAGGACATCCCTGTCACACCCCAAGGTGTACAGGGAATGGCTCTGACTCCCGGCCACGTAGTTTTACCCGGGCCCGCTCACCATCATGAAGGTCCTTAATGATCATGAGCAGAGGGTCAGGGACTCCGAAAGCACAAAGAACAACCCAGAGCCCAGGCCTACTGATGGTATCATAGGCCTTGACCAGGTCAATAAAGCAGAGATGTAGGTCTTGCTGGAATTCCCTACACCTCTGTTGTAGCAGACGGACAGAAAATATGGCATCTGTGCAGGACCGTCCTTTCCTGAAACCGCATTAGGGCTCCGCAATCCTCTCCTCAGCGTGCCTGGCAAGGCGATGTTGAATAATCCTTCCCAGGACCTTTCCCGGCACACTGAGGAATGAGATGCCCCTGTAGTTGTTACAGTCTGTGCGGACCCCGTTCTTAAAGAGGGGGATTACTAGGGCATCCTTCCAACCCTGCGGAACCCATCCAGGGGTGCAGATTTATAATGATGTCATGTAAAGCAGTCTTTGTACAAACGCCACCCTCCCTCAGCATTTCGCTAAAGATATCTTCTCTGCCCGGTGCTTTTCCTGGTCTCAGACTCAACTGATGGCACCTCAGCCAGCCACTCACAGGTGCTGACTTCCTCCTCCAATATTTGAGGTACCGTAGCCTCAGCAGGGTCATCCCCAATTTGCCCCATGATGTATTCCAGACTGAGCAATTTTCCCTCCCCCAAGACTTCACAAAAATGCTCAGCAAATCTGCAAAGCTGTTCCTGGGGGTTGGAAATTGGATCACCGTTCTTTCCCCTAATGATGGTGATAGGCGTGGCGCTGCAAGTTACTTTTTTGAAGAAATTAAAGAGTGATTTGTGATCATGGGCCATTAAGGCAAATTCCATCTCCTCAATAACCCGTGACCACCACCCATCCTTGCAGCGCCTCATGGCTCGCCGAACCTCCAAGCGAAGGCTGCGGTAAGCCTCCTCATTCTCTGACGTGGGATGCTGGGACTTCACACCTGGTAAAATAAACATTGTTTAGTTTTAGGCTATAGCCTAATTACATAGAGACCCATAGACTCATCACACATATACCCATAGACTAATCACACAGAGATCCATAGACTCAGCACACGGAGACCCATAGACTCAGCACACTGAGACCCATAGACTCAGCACACAGAGACGCATAGACTCAGCACACAGAGACCCATAGACTAATCACACAGAGACCCATAGACTAATCACACAGAGATCCATAGACTCAGCACACAGAGACCCATAGACCAATCACACAGAGATCCATAGACTCACCACACAGAGACCCATAGGCTCATCACACAGAGATCCATAGACTCACCACACAAGAGACCCATAGACTCATCACACAGATACCCATAGACTCAGCACACAGAGACCCATAGACTCATCACACAGAGACCCATAGACTTATCACACAGAGACCCATAGACTAATCACACAGAGATCCATAGACTCACCACACAGGGACCCATAGGCTCATCACACAGAGATCCATAGACTCACCACACAAGAGACCCATAGACTCATCACACAGATACCCATAGACTCAGCACACAGAGACCCATAGACTCATCACACAGAGACCCATAGACTTATCACACAGAGACCCATAGACTAATCACACAGAGACCCAAATATTCACCACACAGAGACCTATAGCCTCATCACACAGAGACCCACAGACTCACCACATAGAGACCCACAGAATCACCAAACAGAGACCCACAGACTCACCACACAGAGACCCAGGTGAGTTTAATCGTTAAGTTAGAACCGCGCCAACAGACATTCCCTTTATTCGTTTACTTCCTCAGGGATTCCTTCAGCAGGTCGGTGAACGAGTGGAGGAGGTCGTTCCTGTCGCGGGCGACCCTCAGCGCCTCCCGCTGTATGCTCATCAACTCCCTCATCGCCTCGTCCTGCGACCTCGCAAACTCCCGGAACCACCGCGGCGGGGGTCCATTATCTTCCGGCTCCCCCGCGCCTCCTCCACCACCTCCTCCACCTCCTCTCTTCCGTTTCCTCCGACGGTCAAACGACGATGGTGACGCCGCCGCTACATTGTTGTCAGGATGTGGAGGAAGAGGAGGAGGCGGAGGAAGAGGAGGAGGCGACGACGTCCCAGCGACATTGGGCGCAGAGCTCCCGGGAGGCACGGCGGCGGCGTCGTCGTCTGAGAGAAGTAAAGAAAGCACGTATACATCCCCGTCTGAAGTTTGCCAATGAACATCTGAATGATTCAGAGGACAACTGGGTGAAAGTGCTGTGGTCAGATGAGACCAAAATGGAGCTCTTTGGCATCAACTCAAATCGCCGTGTTTGGAGGAGGAGGAATGCTGCCTATGACCCCAAGAACACCATCCCCACCGTCAAACATGGAGGTGGAAACATAATGCTTTGGGGGTGTTTTTCTGCTAAGGGGACAGGACAACTTCACCGCATCAAAGGGACGATGGACGGGGCCATGTACCGTCAAATCTTGGGTGAGAACCTCCTTCCCTCAGCCAGGGCATTGAAAATGGGTCGTGGATGGGTATTTCAGCATGACAATAACACAAAGCACACGGCCAAGGCAACAAAGGAGTGGCTCAAGAAGAAGCACTTTAAGGTCCTGGAGTGGCCTAGCCAGTCTCCAGACCTTAATCCCGTAGAAAATCTGTGGAGGGAGCTGAAGGTTCGAGTTGCCAAACGTCAGCCTCGAAACCTTAATGTATTGGAGATCTGCAAAGAGGAGTGGGACAAAATCCCTCCGGAGATGTGTGCAAACCTGGTGGCTAACTACAAGAAACGTCTGACCTCTGTGATTGCCAACAAGGGTTTTGCCACCAAGTACTAAGTCATGTTTTGCAGAGGGGTCAAATACTTATTTCCCTCATTAAAATGGAAATCAATTTCTAACATTTTTGACATGCGTTTTTCTGGATTTTGTTGTTGTTATTCTGTTCAAATAAACCTACCATTAAAATTATAGAATGATCATTTTTTTGTCAGTGGGCAAACGTACAAAATCAGTAGGGGATCTAATACTTTTTTCCCTCACTGTACATCTGTAGAACGTGAAGAACCAGTGGCATCTACATCTAAAGAACGTGAAGAACCAGTGGTGTCTCCATCTGCAGAAGGTGAAGAACCAGTGGCATCTACATCTGCAGAAGGCGAAAAACCAGTGGCATCTACATCTGCAGAAGGCGAAGAACCAGTGGCATCTACATCTGCAGAACGTGAAGAACCAGTGACATCTACATCTGCATAATGTGAAGTACCAGTGGCATCTACATCTACAGAACGTGAAGAACCAGTGGCATCTACATCAGCAAAACATGAAGAACCAGTGGTATCTACGTCTGCAGAAGGCTAAGAACCAGTAACATCTACATATGCAGAACGTGAAGAACCAGTGGCATCTACATCTACAGAACGTGAAGAACCAGTGGCATCTACATCTGCAGAACGTGAAGAACCAGTGGCATCTACATCTGCAGAACGTGAAGAACCAGTGGCATCTACATATGCAGAAGATGAAGAACCAGTGGCATCTACATCTGCAGAAGGTTAACAACCAGTGGCATCTACATCTACAGAACGTTAAGAACCAGTGGCATCTACATCTGGAGAAGGCGAAGAACCAGTGGGATCTACATCTGCAGAACGTGAAGAACCAGTGGCATCTACATCTGCAGAACGTGAAGAACCAGTTGCATCTACATCTGCAGAATGTGAAGAACCAGTGGCATCTACATCTGCAGAACGTGAAGAACCAGTGGCATCTACATCTGCAGAAGGTTAACAACCAGTGGCATCTACATCTACAGAATGTGAAGAACCAGTGGCATCTACATCTGCAGAATCTGAAGAACCAGTGGCATCTACATCTGCAGAATGTGAAGAACCAGTGGCATCAACATCTGCAGAATGTGAAGAACCAGTGGCATCTACATCTGCAGAATGTGAAGAACCAGTGGCATCTACATCTGCAGAACGTGAAGAACCAGTGGCATCTACATCTGCAGAACGTGAAGAACCAGTGGCATCTACATATGCAGAAGATGAAGAACCAGTGGCATCTACATCTGCAGAAGGTTAACAACCAGTGGCATCTACATCTACAGAACGTTAAGAACCAGTGGCATCTACATCTGGAGAAGGCGAAGAACCAGTGGGATCTACATCTGCAGAACGTGAAGAACCAGTGGCATCTACATCTGCAGAACGTGAAGAACCAGTTGCATCTACATCTGGAGAATGTGAAGAACCAGTGGCATCTACATCTGCAGAACGTGAAGAACCAGTGGCATCTACATCTGCAGAAGGTTAACAACCAGTGGCATCTACATCTACAGAATGTGAAGAACCAGTGGCATCTACATCTGCAGAATGTGAAGAACCAGTGGCATCTACATCTGCAGAATGTGAAGAACCAGTGGCATCTACATCTGCAGAATGTGAAGAACCAGTGGCATCTACATCTGCAGAACGTGAAGAGCCAGTGGCATCTACATCTAAAGAACATGAAGAACCAGTGGCATCTACATCTGTAGAACGTGAAGAACCAGTGCCATCAACATCTGTAGAACGTGAAGAACCAGTGGCATCTACATCTACAGAACATGAACAACCAGTGGCATCTACGTCTACAGAATGTGAAGAACCAGTGGCATCTACATCTGCAGGAAATTATACAACTTTTAAAGCTATTCCCCATGTTTAGTGTACACGCCGTACAACACGTTTGGAATGGACAGAAGTCAAGTTGGACTTACGAACGAATCGACGTACGAACAGATCTCCGGAACCTTCCACGTTCATAAGTAGAGGAGTCTCTGTAATGTAGTGTAGCAGTATATAATGCAGTGTAGTATATAATATCGTATATAGGAGTATATACCATAGTGTTGTAGTATATAATGTAGCGCTGTAGAATATTATGTATGGTACGACACGTTTGAAATCGACAGGAGTCAAGTTGGACCTCCGAACGAATCGATTTACGAACAGATCTCTGGAACCTAACTCGTTCGTATGTAAAGGAGTCCCTGTACAGGGGTGGTTCAAATGCCATGTGACCCCCCGCAACCCACCCCCTCCACCCCCACCCCCCCCCCATGTCACTCGGGTGCCCCAGCGACAAAAGACAAAATCTGTGGCGGGGAGAAGAAGAAGACAAAAAGAGAAAGAGAGAAAAAAATCGAGGCAAATGAATAAATCGAACAATGATAATAAAATTATAACAATAACAAATAAATCAACTAAGTCACCGACATCATTAGACCTCCTTTGCCAGTACCAAAATATAATAATAGGGCTTTTCCCCTTTTTTCTGGCAACAAAACTGAAACCTTTTTACAATCATTCATGTTACTGCATTAACCACAATACCTGCAGTCAAAATGCAAACAAAAAACATTACTATGATAATATATTTTTGTACTGGCAAAAGATGGCTAATGATGTAGATGCTCACCCCGAGCCCTCATTACTTTGATAGTGCATTGTCTTTGAGCTGTGCAACGCCTATTGGCGTCATCTGGTCGAGCACCAATTGGGTCGAGGCTCAAAAGAAAGCCGTCCCTTGGTGTGGACCAATCAGTTTCAAGGACAATGCATCATATATTCAATTTCGATTTAAAGCTTTCGTGACTGCAAGGATTCGTCTTCTTTGGTTCTTTCGGTAAAGTCACGTAGAATGAGAATACAATAATAAATTGATAAAATAAAATAACACAATAATATTCTCATGACGTTTCGGCCACAACACAAGCGGCCTTCATCAGGTCAAGGCGCTTTGTTTCTTCTCACACAGCTTAAAGGTCGCGATCTGAGCGTGGCTTTTTCACTCCAGCGCTGTCCTCCAGACAGTCTCGTCCCTTCACCTGATGAAGGCCGCTTGTGTTGTGGCCGAAACGTCGTGAGAATATTATTGCGTTATTTTATTTTATCAATTTATTATTTTATTCTCATTCTACGTGACTTTACCGAAAGAACCAAAGAAGATGCATGATAAATTATCATAGTGTGTTATTTCTGTTTTCATTTTGATTGCAGGTATTGTGGTTAATGCAGACATGAATCCTCATAAAAAGGTTTCAGTTTTGTTGCCAGAAAAAATGGGAAAAACCCTATTATTACATTTTGGTATTGGCAAAGGAGGTCTAATGATGTAGATGCTCACCCCGAGCCCTCATTACTTTGATAGTGCATTGTCTTTGAGCTGTACGCCTTCTGGTGTCATCTGGTCGAGCACCAATTGGGTCGAGGCTCAAAAGAAAGCCGTCCCTTGGTGTGGACCAATCAGTTTCAAGGACAATGCATCATATAATATCATAGTGTGTTTTTTGTTTGCATTTTGACTGCAGGTATTGTGGATAATGCAGTAACACGAATCCTTGTAAAAAACGATTTCAGTTTTGTTGCCAGAAAAAAAGGGCAAAACCCATATCATTATAAGTCACCGACCTCTGCGTGCTTTGGGCGGTGGCGCCGAGGTCACTGCCGCCGCCGCCGCCGCCGTCCCACCACCGCGGTGGGGCGCTGCGCCCACGAGGTCCCGCACGAGGTCAAAGAACTCCCAGGAGGAGCGGCCGCGTGCCGTCGCCTTGCCCACGTTGTCCCGGATCGTCTTGTACCTGGACCATGGGGTGGGTCGGGGCGCAGCGGGGGGAATGTTGTCCGCGCGGTGCCTTACTGACGGCAGCGTTGCTGGTTCAGGGCGGCAAACGTGAACCGCGTGACGCGACGCTGCGCTCGCGATCGCGGAGAAAGAAGAGAGAGAGGATGGTGCAGTGCTGAGTCTATGGTGCAGTGTTGAGTCTGTGGTGCAGTGTTGAGTCTATGGTGCAGTGTTGAGTCTATGGTGCAGTGCTGAGTCTATGGTGCAGTGTTGAGTCTATGGTGCAGTGCTGAGTCTATGGTGCAGTGTTGAGTCTGTGGTGCAGTGTTGAGTCTATGGTGCAGTGCTGAGTCTATGGTACAGTGTTGAGTCTATGGTGCAGTGTTGAGTCTATGGTGCAGTGTTGAGTATATGGTGCAGTGTTGAGTCTATGGTGCAGTGTTGAGTCTATGGTGCAGTGCTGAGTCTATGGTGCAGTGTTGAGTCTATGGTGCAGTGCTGAGTCTATGGTGCAGTGTTGAGTCTGTGGTGCAGTGTTGAGTCAATGGGGCAGTGTTGAATCTATGGTGCAGTGTTGAATCTATGAGTAGTGTTGAGTCTATGGTGCAGTGTTGAGTCTATGGTGCAGTGCTGAGTCTATGGTGCAGTGTTGAGTCTATGGTGCAGTGTTGAGTCTATGGTGCAGTGCTGAGTCTATGGTGCAGTGTTGAGTCTATGGTGCAGTGTTGAGTCTATGGTGCAGTGTTGAGTCCATGGGGCAGTGTTGAGTCTATGGTGCAGAGTTGAGTCTATTGTGCAATGTTGAGTCTATGGTGCAGTGTTGAGTCTATTGGGCAATGTTGAGTCTATGGGTAGTGCTGAGTCTATGGTGCAGTGTTGAGTCTATGGTGCAGTGTTGAGTCTGTGGTGCAGTGCTGAGTCTGTGGTGCAGTGCTGAGTCTACGGTGCAGTGTTGAGTCTACGGTGCAGTGTTGAATCTATGAGTAGTGTTGAGTCTATGGTGCAGTGTTGAGTCTATGGAGCAGTGCTGAGTCTGTGGTGCAGTGTTGAGTCTATGGTGCAGTGTTGAATCTATGGTGCAGTGTTGAATCTATGAGTAGTGTTGAGTCTATGGTGCAGTGTTGAGTCTATGGTGCAGTGCTGAGTCTATGTTGCAGTGTTGAGTATATTGTGCAGTGTTGAGTCTATGGTGCAGTGCTGAGTCTATGGTGCAGTGCTGAGTCTATGGTGCAGTGTTGAGTCTATGGTGCAGTGTTGAGTCTATGGTGCAGTGCTGAGTCTATGGTGCAGTGTTGAGTCTATGGTGAGGTGCTGAGTCTGTGGGCAGTGTTGAGTCTATGGTGCAGTGTTGAGTCTATGGTGCAGTGTTGAGTCCATGGGGCAGTGTTGAGTCTATGGTGCAGAGTTGAATCTATGGTGCAGTGCCGAGTCTATGGTGCAGTGTTGAGTCTATTGTGCAATGTTGAGTCTATGGTGCAGTGTTGAGTCTATTGGGCAATGTTGAGTCTATGGGCAGTGCTGAGTCTATGGTGCAGTGTTGAGTCTATGGTGCAGTGTTGAGTCTGTGGTGCAGTGCTGAGTCTGTGGTGCAGTGCTGAGTCTACGGTGCAGTGTTGAGTCTACGGTGCAGTGTTGAATCTATGAGTAGTGTTGAGTCTATGGTGCAGTGTTGAGTCTATGGAGCAGTGCTGAGTCTATGGTGCAGTGTTGAGTCTGTGGTGCAGTGTTGAGTCTATGGTGCAGTGCTGAGTCTATGGTGCAGTGTTGAGTCTATGGTGCAGCCCTGAGTCTATGGTGCAGTGTTGAGTCTGTGGTGCAGTGTTGAGTCTATGGTGCAGTGTTGAATCTATGGTGCAGTGTTGAATCTATGAGTAGTGTTGAGTCTATGGTACAGTGTTGAGTCTATGGTGCAGTGCTGAGTCTATGGTGCAGTGTTGAGTCTATGGTGCAGTGTTGAGTCTATGGTGCAGTGCTGAGTCTATGGTGCAGTGTTGAGTCTATGGTGCAGTGTTGAGTCTATGGTGCAGTGTTGAGTCCATGGGGCAGTGTTGAGTCTATGGTGCAGAGTTGAATCTATGGTGCAGTGCCGAGTCTATGGTGCAGTGTTGAGTCTATTGTGCAATGTTGAGTCTATGGTGCAGTGTTCAGTCTATTGGGCAATGTTGAGTCTATGGGCAGTGCTGAGTCTATGGTGCAGTGTTGAGTCTATGGTGCAGTGTTGAGTCTGTGGTGCAGTGCTGAGTCTGTGGTGCAGTGCTGAGTCTACGGTGCAGTGTTGAGTCTACGGTGCAGTGTTGAATCTATGAGTAGTGTTGAGTCTATGGTGCAGTGTTGAGTCTATGGAGCAGTGCTGAGTCTATGGTGCAGTGTTGAGTCTGTGGTGCAGTGTTGAGTCTATGGTGCAGTGCTGAGTCTATGTTGCAGTGTTGAGTCTATGGTGCAGCCCTGAGTCTATGGTGCAGTGTTGAGTCTGTGGTGCAGTGTTGAGTCTATGGTGCAGTGTTGAATCTATGGTGCAGTGTTGAATCTATGAGTAGTGTTGAGTCTATGGTGCAGTGTTGAGTCTATGGTGCAGTGCTGAGTCTATGTTGCAGTGTTGAGTATATTGTGCAGTGTTGAGTCTATGGTGCAGTGCTGAGTCTATGGTGCAGTGCTGAGTCTATGGTGCAGTGTTGAGTCTATGGTGCAGTGTTGAGTCTATGGTGCAGTGCTGAGTCTATGGTGCAGTGTTGAGTCTATGGTGAGGTGCTGAGTCTGTGGGCAGTGTTGAGTCTATGGTGCAGTGTTGAGTCTATGGTGCAGTGTTGAGTCCATGGGGCAGTGTTGAGTCTATGGTGCAGAGTTGAATCTATGGTGCAGTGCCGAGTCTATGGTGCAGTGTTGAGTCTATTGCGCAATGTTGAGTCTATGGTGCAGTGTTGAGTCTATTGGGCAATGTTGAGTCTATGGGCAGTGCTGAGTCTATGGTGCAGTGTTGAGTCTATGGTGCAGTGTTGAGTCTGTGGTGCAGTGCTGAGTCTGTGGTGCAGTGCTGAGTCTACGGTGCAGTGGTGAGTCTACGGTGCAGTGTTGAATCTATGAGTAGTGTTGAGTCTATGGTGCAGTGTTGAGTCTATGGAGCAGTGCTGAGTCTATGGTGCAGTGTTGAGTCTGTGGTGCAGTGTTGAGTCTATGGTGCAGTGCTGAGTCTATGGTGCAGTGTTGAGTCTATGGTGCAGCCCTGAGTCTATGGTGCAGTGTTGAGTCTGTGGTGCAGTGTTGAGTCTATGGTGCAGTGTTGAATCTATGGTGCAGTGTTGAATCTATGAGTAGTGTTGAGTCTATGGTGCAGTGTTGAGTCTATGGTGCAGTGCTGAGTCTATGTTGCAGTGTTGAGTATATTGTGCAGTGTTGAGTCTATGGAGCAGTGCTGAGTCTATGGTGCAGTGCTGAGTCTATGGTGCAGTGTTGAGTCTATGGTGCAGTGTTGAGTCTATGGTGCAGTGCTGAGTCTATGGTGCAGTGTTGAGTCTATGGTGAGGTGCTGAGTCTGTGGGCAGTGTTGAGTCTATGGTGCAGTGTTGAGTCTATGGTGCAGTGTTGAGTCCATGGGGCAGTGTTGAGTCTATGGTGCAGAGTTGAATCTATGGTGCAGTGCCGAGTCTATGGTGCAGTGTTGAGTCTATTGCGCAATGTTGAGTCTATGGTGCAGTGTTGAGTCTATTGGGCAATGTTGAGTCTATGGGCAGTGCTGAGTCTATGGTGCAGTGTTGAGTCTATGGTGCAGTGTTGAGTCTGTGGTGCAGTGCTGAGTCTGTGGTGCAGTGCTGAGTCTACGGTGCAGTGTTGAGTCTACGGTGCAGTGTTGAGTCTATGGTGCAGTGTTGAGTCTGTGGTGCAGTGTTGAGTCTATGGTGCAGTGTTGAATCTATGGTGCAGTGTTGAATCTATGAGTAGTGTTGAGTCTATGGTGCAGTGTTGAGTCTATGGAGCAGTGCTGAGTCTATGGTGCAGTGTTGAGTCTATGGTGCAGTGTTGAGTCTATGGTGCAGTGCTGAGTCTATGGTGCAGTGTTGAGTCTATGGTGCAGTGCTGAGTCTATGGGCAGTGTTGAGTCTATGGTGCAGTGTTGAGTCTATGGTGCAGTGTTGAGTCCATGGGGCAGTGTTGAGTCTATGGTGCAGAGTTGAATCTATGGTGCAGTGCCGAGTCTATTGTGCAGTGTTGAGTCTATTGTGCAATGTTGAGTCTATGGTGCAGTGCTGAGTCTATGGTACAGTGTTGAGTCTATGGGGCAGTGTTGAGTCTATGGTGCAGTGTTGAGTCTATGGTGTAGTGTTGAGTCTATGGTGCAGTGTTGAGTCTATGGGCAGTGTTGAGTCTATGGTGCTGTGCTGAGTCTATTGTGCAATGTTGAGTCTATGGGCAGTGCTGAGTCTATCGTGCAGTGTTGAGTCTATGGTGCAGTGTTGAGTCTATTGTGCAATGTTGAGTCTATGGTGCAGTGCTGAGTCTATGGTACAGTGTTGAGTCTATGGGGCAGTGTTGAGTCTATGGTGCAGTGTTGAGTCTATGGTGTAGTGTTGAGTCTATGGTGCAGTGTTGAGTCTATGGGCAGTGTTGAGTCTATGGTGCTGTGCTGAGTCTATTGTGCAATGTTGAGTCTATGGGCAGTGCTGAGTCTATCGTGCAGTGTTGAGTCTATGGTGCAGTGTTGAGTCTGTGGTGCAGTGCTGAGTCTGTGGTGCAGTGCTGAGTCTACGGTGCAGTGTTGAGTCTACGGTGCAGTGTTGAGTCTATGGTGCAGTGTTCATTCTATCGTGCAGTGTTGAGTCTATGGTGCAGTGTTGAGTCTATGGTGCAGTGTTGAGTCTATGGTGCAGTGCTGAGTCTATGGTGCAGTGTTGAGTCTATGGTGCAGTGCTGAGTCTATGGTGCAGTGTTGAGTCTGTGGTGCAGTGTTGAGTCTATGGTGCAGTGCTGAGTCTATGGTACAGTGTTGAGTCTATGGTGCAGTGTTGAGTCTATGGTGCAGTG